CTAAACCCTTAACCCTAACCCTAAACCCTAAACCCAAAGCCCCTAAACCCTAAACCCTAAACGCTAGCCCTAAACCCTAAACCCTTAACCCTAACCCTAAACCCTAAACCCAAAACCCAAAGCCCCTAAACCCTAAACGCTAGCCCTAAACCCTAAACCCTTAACCCTAAACCCTAAACGCTAGCCCTAAACCCTAAACCCTGAACCCTAACCCTTAACCCTAAACCCTAAACCTCGGGCTTAGGGCTTAGGGTTTCGAGCTTCGGGGCCCTCTTTGGCCCAGGAACAACCTTACTTGAAGCCCAAAGCCCAGCCCCTCCCAACCTCCGAGGGTTCAGGGTTCTATGGGGCGTTTAGGGTTTAGGATTTAGGGTTTGGGTTTAGGGTTTAGGGTTTAGGATTTAGGGTACGGTTCTGTTGGGGTTGAACTCTATACAAGTCCACTCCTTGTTGAGTTCCTAAGCGCAAAACCCCACACCCTCCTAGACTCTCGATCTTGCCTTGGCGTCCAGGACTTGCACAGCGCGTGTGATGTGGGTGTACCTGACCACGTCCCCAGAATTCAGGTCTTGGGTTTGGGGGTTCGGTTTTCTTTTGCCTAAACGATAAACCCTAAGCCCTAAACCCTAAACCGTCTGCGCGTTTTTGGTTAAGAGTCGTGGCTTTGATGAATTTTGGTGGTCAGCTTCTTCCAGTCATTGTCCAGAAGCGCCTGTTCGTGCAGGCCTTTTGGGCGTTGCAAGGCTTGTGGATTTAGAGTTTGAAGTTACTCAGCTGAAGGGCCCTTTTCCTCCACCATCTAGTCAGTACATATATATATATATATATATTAGAGCTTAAAGGTTCAAGGCCCCTTTCCTTACTTCCCCAATAAGCCGCGGAAAAAGGCTAAAATTTCAGAGTACTACTAAACTGTAAGAGCCCAAAAAGTTTAAAGGTTGGGTATTGGAGAACTAAATTCCACTGCCTAATATATCATAGTATACGGGCGTTTGCTGTGTGAATAAGGGCGGGAATACTATGAACTATGCGGACCCCGATATGGAGCCCGCAAGGTACAAGGTTTGGGGTCCGTTTTGCTGCTGCTCCGATCAAGCCAGTTTTGCCATTGAGTTGCTGATTCAGCATCGCTCGAAGAATCTTGGTGCCCAAAGGGAAGTTTCCTGCATTCGCACATCTTCATATCCACAACGACCAGTGAAAACCTGATCGGTCCTCCCAGTCCCACAAGCTCTGATGGTTGGTGCGAGTTGTTGCGAAGTTACAGTGGGGTCAGATCCGGAATCCCATCCGTAGCTGTGTTCAAAACGACATCCCTCGATGCTTTCGAAAGGCCCCACTGCAACTATTCTGGCTACCATGCAAACTCTTCAGTAGCTTGGCTTTTCCCGTACTCTCCATGTTTGGGGTCTCACAGTAAGGGCATCGGAACAGGCAGATGCTGTGGGACCTAGCATACGACATGCCATCGTTGAACCCCGATAGCGCACTTGCCGCACTCCCACTTCGCCAGTTCAACTTCCACCTGTGAAGAGCCAGGGATGTTTTGTGAGTCGGTACCCACGCCATCACAATTCCACCGGCTGAACAAGTATTCTATTTCCTAGAGTACAGAGGGACAGGTCTTAGATCAGGTAGACCCTAAATCGTCGTAGAACAGTCGTGCGCCTTGAAGGAGAGCATGTGGCTAAGGCTCCTATAGGCAAACCCCAAGCCGCGAATCCCAACTCCTCGAACCTCTACTCTAAAACTTCTCTTTGAAAGCCTCAAAGAGACCCCAAACCCCTAATTCTTACTTCCCCAATGAGCCAGGGAAATAAAAGGTTGAACTTTCAGATTACTACCAAGTTATAAGAGCCCAAAAGGTTCAAAGGTTGGGTATTGGAGAACTAAGAATTAAATCCCTTGACCGCTAAACCCAGTCTGCCCTAAGCCGCAAGCTGTGATATCAAAACGAGGCTTGGCAGGGCAATGCACGGCTCAAGACATTGGAGGGGCCAAGTGCCGCCGTTTACGGTTCAATATGGCTGTATGGGCCTTTGTTGATTTTGTAGGGGTTCTTACAAGGTTTTGTTGGATGGGTCGTAATCACTAGGAGGAGAGTTGGCAATACTTCCGAGGATCCTTCACTTCTCACAGCACCCAAACTCCGAGCCCTAAATCTGCAACCCCGACCCACAAACCTGAAGCCTTATGAAGCTTGAACGTCGGCCCCAAAGGTGAAAGCTGGATCCAGCAATGTTGCAGGAGTGACATGAAGATGTTCAAGACAGAGGCTGTGGACAGTGGGGTCCATTTCTGCATGTAATATAGGGGCCTTAACAATTAGAATAGAGTTTGGCGCTATTATAGTATAATTATAATAAGGAGCCCTAAGAATAAGATTGGTAATTATCTAGGCTTCTACAGTAGCTTGATCTCACGGGCTGTCTGGCATATTCGGCACGATCCCAAAAGAAAGGCCCTTCATGTTTCATGCCCTGAGCCGTAAACCCTACACCATAAAATCCTGCAGCCCTAAACCCTGGACCCCAAGCCCTAAATGCTGAACCCTAAACCCTGCAACCCTACACCCTAAACCCTGCAACCCTAAACCCCAAACCCGACCCCAAACCCAAAACCCTACAACCCTAAACCCGGCAACCCTAAACCACAAACCCTAAACCCCAAACCCCAAACCCTACTTTTCTTTTGCATGCTGCGCTAAATTGAATGGCATCTTCGTGGGCCGAGAGTCGTTCAGTCTCATTTGGAGACAGGCCCTGCGCATAAGTTTCGCTTCGCGGTTCGCGCGCACCTAAACAAGGAGGTCCCTCAACATGATATAGGGTTTAGGGTCCAGGGTTTAGGGTTAGGTTTAGTGTTTAGGGTTGGGGGCTTCATTGTTAGAACTGGATTTTGGGGGTACAGACTATAGTTCTATCGAGGAACCCCAAGAAATAATATACTACAGTTCTATTAGACGAGCATGGATCCCTGTTCCGGGAAGCTTACAGGGTTTAGGGTTTAGGACCAACTTCGCACTTGCCCAAATCTCTATGCCTAAGGTAAGGCCACCAGCACCCAATCCGTAAACCCAAGAGGAGGAATGCACTGGCGGCGCACCCACTCAACTTATCCGTAAACATCGTCCCTTGGACCCCAGCTTTTTGACTCGTCTTTGGGGTTGGAATGGGCAGGTGGCAGTTTCGAAGTTCATGAAGGGAACTCCTTGTGGCTGGGTTGCAACACATGTCCGTCACCATCCACTTCGTGGGGTGCTCAGACTAAAGTGAGATTGGCTCCAGACCTCCTGCAGAGTTTCTGGCACAGCATGCCTAGATCGTAAACTGCATGAAGTCAGCGCATGCTTGCGGAATGCAGCCCCAGATTGATCTCCTACAGTTATCAAGTGTTAATTGCCGCATGTAGAACACATGGTTTTATACAACAGAATATACTACAACCTACCATACTAGAGTAATTCTATTTACCATAGCGGCTACAACCATCCAAATCCTTGGAGAAGTCAACACAGAAGTTGCCTGACTTCCAAAAGGGTGGGGAGGAGCCGCTGCCGTGATTACATGAATCCCTCTAGCAGCTCGAGCCCCCAATTATACGCAGCAATTTTTCGCCTAACACAGATATTGGTGCTGTTTGGAGTTTTTGGACAGCTTGCAGACAGTATTCTGTGCTCTTGCACGTTTGCAGATAGCATTCCACACTTCGTTTACAGGCTTCGTGGCTGGCTAATGCCACTATGCCCAGTTTCATGTCCCAACCAGTCCCCTTATTTGAGCTCTACTCAGAGAGTCCGCTGATTCTAGAGGGTCTCTCTCTTGCAGACTCAGTCTGAGTGATATTCCCGGGTATCTGTTGAATCCTTCATGACCCTAAACCCTAAACCC